AAGTCAAAGAAAAAAATTCAAACCATCTAGAAAAGATAAACGATACATTTTAAACTTCGGTTATATTTTTTTTCTCTTCAAATCATTGAGTTCTCTCTAGTCCATTTAGCTTCTCTGAAGTTTTACAAGTTTCTTTCAGATATTCTTCTATAGAAAATTCTAGAAAAACTTATGTAATTACAGTTAATTTTGATAGATTACTTGTATGAGCAGTGAACCATGATGACATAAAGACATGCGAAAATCTTTTGAAAAATTTCATTTTTTTTACAGTTTTTTTTTTATTGATCATTTCAGTGAAAAAACAATTTTAATTTCCATCATACTGAGCTTAAACTACTGCAAAAAGAATCAAATTGCTCTGTTGCTTCAGAGAACATTAATTTTTTATAAATATGATGACTCCTAGTCAATTTAATGAATTCATGGTATCTGCATGAGTAGTTCACTACTAATATGTCACAGAAACTTTTATGTACTTTATGAGTTTTTAGCATTTGACTACAAAATACTTCATATGTGTTAAGCCGATTCTCAAGAGAGTACTCAACTAAGATCTTATAACACACTGATAACAAAGTGCTCTCCTAGCAATTAAATCAGTACGCGGCTATTTTAATCTTTGTATATTCACTAGATTAATAGTTGCATTTGTTGATTAACAAACGAGAATCTTTTTATGGAGATGATCAATGAAAAAAGCTCTACAAATTGGAATATATCAAAAATAGAAATCTTCAGATCTTTTCATTTCTTGTAGTTGATCCGGAAGAAAAAAAAAATGAGTTATAGTTATACTTAAACTTAAACATTTTACTATTCAGCAAAAAAAAAAAAAAAACAAGGTTCATTACATGACCAAGTCTTCTTTAATAAGATTCATTTATAATTTGTTCAACGTACAAGAAGAAAAATATTTCTTACAATTCTAAAAAAAACCAACTTGGTTCTACATCTATCTAATATTTAATAAAACCAATCTAGCAGATACCAATAGATTAAAAAACAAAAAAAAAAGAACAATTTTTTTGTTTTCTATCCAGCATTGACATATATTAAACCTTAACTTCCGGTTTCAGTCATTCTAATTACTGTAAATAGTCGAACTTAAACTTTTTGATCTATTTTCCGATTTATTTTATTTATTAGTTTAATTCAATAAAAACTTTCTTTTATTTAGGGTGAAAAACCATATGCATGTCCATTATGTTTAAAGAGTTATCGAACAATAGGTAATTTTAATAGTCATGTTAAAACACATGATTCTGGTACACGACCACATCGTTGTGAATTATGTAATCAAACATTTCCTATACCAAAAGATTGGTATTCACATTTACGTTCAAGTCATCGTTCACGTATACCAAATAATAATCTTTCAACAACAACAACAACAACAACAACAAATCCAAGTTCATCATTAAATTCAACTAATGCAACAACAACAGTAACACAACCATTATTTTCTAATTCTTTATCAAGTCAACAACAACATAATGAAATATTTGTACCAAATAAAGTTAAATTAGAACCAATTAATCGTTCACAATTAATAATTAAATCATCAAATATTGATGATCAAAAACCAGTAAATATGTCAAAAAAAGAAAATTCAAATGATATTGATGATGATGAAGAAAATAATAATGATGATGGTGATGATGATGATGTTGATGAAGAAGATGAAGTTGAAAATCATCATCAATCAACACATAATTTACTTACGAACGTACCATCACCTGTTCATGCTTAAACAATAACAACAAAAAAATACACAACCTAGTCATTTGTTTGTTTTTGTTTTTTTGGAAAAAAAAATATTTCAGTGAGTTTTTCTTTTCTTTTATTCGAACAGTATTTGCAAAGAAGAAAACGAATAATCAAAATAAGATTGAGAATGAACAGCCAAGCAAGTCTTTCTTTTGTGATTGATGTTTTTTTTTTTTTTTTCTTGTCGTGAGTTTTGTAGCGCAATATCATAATGTATTATTTTATTTGTTGTTTGTTTCGTTTAATTGTTGTTTGAAAATGACGCAATTGTATATTTATTTTCTCTCTTTCTCTCGTTTGCCTAGGTGAATAAGAAATGAACTGTATTTCATATTCGAATTGTCGTGTGTTCTGGTCATTTGTTTTCTTTTTCTTTTTCTTTTTTTTTTGTGAATGATTTAGTGTATTCATTATGGGGCAGCGATTTTGTTTTTTCTTAAAGAAACGCGAATATACATCCTAGTCGATGCATATAAGTGTTATGAAAGGGGGAGAGAGAGAGAGAGACTATTTGAGTTATCTATGTTTGCATTTTGTCTGGGTTTCTTTTTTTTTTTTTTTGTTTTTTTGTTTAAATGGAAATGGAATCAGAATACCTTATATGTGTATTTGTTATCTTTCTTTGCTGTTTCGTATATATATATATATCTATATATACATATATAAAAACAAAATGATGACATCAATATGACTTTATAATTACTATTGAAAATTAAGGTTTGCATTTAGTATCGAAATGCAACGTCATTTATTAATAGATTCTAAATGAATATTTACTTAGGTTATTGATTTTCAAAAGATTAAAAAAAGTATTATTCAATATAACTTCAACATTGGTAAGAAACAAATCAATTTGAAATTTTATATTGATTTAATACCATGAAAAAGAATATGCGACCTTGAATATATGGTAATTCTAAGTTAAATATTTTTTTTTTTATCAATATGTACAATATTTTGTATGGTAAAAATCATGAAAGATCTCAATTGTTTTATGATTTTGTAACAATTGGCACAATAATGATTTACATAGGAGATATTCCATTGAATAATTTATGCTTTCTCTAATCAGTTGAACACTTGACTAGATATGTATATATTGATCTATGATAAAATTCATTTAGAACAAAAAAATAAATAAATTATCGTTTCTATTTCAAATTAGTCAATCATATCTAATAATACTACTACCTTAACAATAGAAGGTTAATCAATGTGTAAAAAAATAATCTTATGTCTCTTTTTTTTTAAAGGTATTATTAACGAATATTTTTTGTCATGTTTTTTTTTTCAAATATCAGTACTACAATAACCTTGAATAGGAAAATTTTCTTTTTAATATTGATTTATTCTCAAACTGATCTAAAATATTCATTAAATATCATATCACATATAACGCATAAGCGACAAAAAAAAAGAAAGAAAGAAGGAACAAAAGAAGATTCATAGTAATCACGTATTTGTCTCTGAAACTAAATGTCGATGATCATCATCATGATTTAATGCATCAAATTGTCGTGGTCTTGGTAAAACAGGTGATATTGATAAATGATGTTGATTAGATTTTCTTATGATCATTTCTTGATCAGAATTTATATGTTCACGTTCATAAATTATACAAAAATGTTTATATAAATTATCAACAATTTCACCAACAATAATATCTTGTCCATTACGTGCAAGTAGACGAAGTGCAAAACAACCATCTTCTTGTAAATAATCACGAACAAATGCTTTACTACGAATTTTTTCATTTAATTTCATTTGTTCTGAATTCATATATTCATCAATAGGTTCATTTATTAATGCACGATTCATAGCTAATTTTCTTCGTACATATACTGTACGACTATCAATACGTATAATACGTAATAACCATGATATAAAATCAACAATATTAAAAGCTGCTAAAAGTAAAATCCAAAACCAAAGTATAAGAAAAATTTTTTCATTAAATAAATTTATTGGTAAAACACATTGTACTGTATATCGATGTATAATACCTATTTCACGTATATGAAAATCACATAATGTAACACGTGGAAATCGTTTTGATTCACCCCAATCAAGACCACGAATAAATTTTGTAATAACTTCAAAACCAAATAAATGATAATCATTACCCAAAAACGAATTTAAAAGAAATATTTGTACTAATGAATTAAATAGAAATAAAAATTTAACAAATGTAAATAATAAAACTATAAATGAACTTAAATGACGATGACGCCAAAATGTTAAAGAATAAAAAAATTTTTGTAGAAAATTTTTTGGATGATAATCAGATGTTTTTGAATTTGTATAACGATTTTCAATATAGACACGTATAGAATTTGAAATATATTCAATTGTTTTTTTACGTTCTTCAATTTGATCAGCTTGTTGTTCTTGTTTTAAAGCTGCAGCAACTAATTTGTCAATATCTAAACCAGATTTATTATTCAATGATCTCCAAAGCATACGTGGAAAATAAAAACATAAAGCCATAAATAGAAGAATAAATGGTGACCATTGATAATATTTTAACATACCTATATTAAATATGTAAAATAATTCAGTATAAAAAAAAACAAAAACTAACGTTCATATCGTGTTGTTTCAGCATGTGGAATATCATGATCCATAGGTACATAATATGTATTCATTATCCAACATATATCATTAGCATATTTTTCATAACCACCAGTAAATTGTGCAGGTACCTAAAATAAATCATAATACAAAAACTACATGAATTATATAGAAAATATTTTACCCAACATGTTATAGGTGAACCAAAATATTGTTGAGTTGTAACAATAGCAGCAAAAACTAAAATCATTGTTACTGTATATCTATGATTGAGTCGATCAATAAATACATCATCATTGTTTATTGAATGATGTTTTCCAGCATTTAATTTTGTTGCAAAACCCAATATATCCATAATAATATAATTCGTTCAATAAATTATTTTAATAAAAAAAAAAAAACTAAAAATAACTTTTTAATTTTTTTATGATGATTATTATTTTAGTATAGATTTCTTCTTTTCTTTTTTTTTGCTATCATATTAAATCAAGGCTTACTATCACCGTTGTACTTTGTTTCTCATCATAAAGAACAAGTCAATGCCATTCTTTATTCTTTATTCTTTTCTTTCTTATTCTTTACACTTTACGATTACCTTATTTTGGTTGAAAAAAAAGACAACGAAAGATGATCATATCATACGTAGATTTTTTGTATTAATGATTACATCACATTCAATTACACTTTTGTCTCTTACTACTATTCACAATGTACATGTTTACTTTGGAATTTAGGATGTCAAACCGCAACATACCGAAAAGACTACATATTATAAATTCACCCTTCACATTTCAATACTAACATGTTTAATCTGTATACTATACATCATCATCAAATTTGAACAACCCATTTTCTTCTGTGTTTTTTTTCCGAGTCACTCACCTTGTGTCTATTAAAATATAATATAGACTTATTGATCAACCTTCTTTTTCAAGAGTTTATAATATGATAAACAATGAAAATAATCTTTTATGATCTGTACATAGTGAATGAATGTATGAGCATACAAAACATTAAAATGTCCTCATACTTTACAGAAAAAAAAAACAAAATATAACCACAAACCACTGAAGTATTTGTTAGATGCATATCGAATGCATATACTCAAAGCAAATAGACAAATTCGAAAAAAAAAACCTCAAATAACAGAGAAACCAAGAAAAAAAGACGAAACATCCTTTCTCTTTTCTTTTTTTTTGTCATCAATCGATAAACTAAAAAAAAAACAAAAAAAAAAATAAGAACAGCCTATATTATACTCAAAAGATAAAGTTGAAAGACAGGACAAATTGACGATGACAAGAATGAATGTATATTTGCAGTCAAGCACATCATATATTTCGTTAAAGACGTATGGATTAAATTACACATAAAAATCCTTTGTCGGTCTATTTGCCTATGAAGAAAAACGATCGTTTCTTCCTTTAAAAAATGCGAAGGTGATTCGTTTTTTTTTTTTTTTTATTTTGACAAAAAAGAAAGAAGAGATACATTACTTCGTATAATACACTTGTATTTATTATAATGAGTATTATTAGCAAGGACTATTACCATATAGAAGAAAATTTGAATCTCAAGAACTTTATTCAATGCAAATATCAACAAATCAATTCTATTGAATGATTGAAACATGAATTATTCTCTATTAAATGTCATGGAAGTCTTTGAATAAATGTCGAAGCTCATTTTTCAGTTAAACCAAATTCAAATTAATTCTAATACTATTTTGTAAAGTTTGAATAATTAAAAACAATAGAATGAATATGATTCGAACAACAACAATTCATAGAAAGTTACTAATTGATCAAGAAAAAAAAAGAGCAGAACTATTCTTTTTTTTTTTTTATTCATTATAAGCGTATCTATCGAATTATCTTATCAGATAAAAAAAAAAAAATTGTTACTTAGTATAATCTCGTATTGATAATAAACTCTTTTATTGTCTCAAATTAAATCCTAATCTTTGTTGACTTTCAATGATATCGTATATCCATCAAAAAAACAAAAAATAACATATGAACTAAAATAAAAATCGAAGTATTTTGTATATCAAACAGGAAATAATTTCAATAAATAATTCAGATCGAAATATATATTAATTAGTCTAAAATTGGTTATCGATTATAACCTTCGATATGATTTTGTTCATTGAAGAAATAAGAAAAGAAACTTGTCATGTATAAAGAAAACAAGCATAACATTTTTTTTGAAACAGCAAAATTTGGTCATAGAACATTTTGTCTAATTGGAAAATTACAATTATATGAATAGAATAAGCTTTATATTATAGATTGTTGAGCTTTTCATGCCACACCCTATGATAGTATTTTCTGTTTTAATAAAACATATTAGATGATGAAAAAGTAAAATATAAAACACCAGCATTCACTATGATCCACCTGTTCTACGGAGCTCAAAAAGAACACATATGAGTTTCACTTTTTTTTCTTTTTCTACTATTATGACATAGTTAATTGAAAAAGTTAACATTAATTCTATTGTTTCCGGTGGAAAATATTGCAATCAAAATACCAAAAAAAAAATTGAATTTTACATCAACTAATTTTTATTAATATGTTGTAAAAATATCACAGGTCGAGAAAAGAACAATATAGTGTGATAGATAATCATCATCTAACTTGCTACTATTGACTAAAAATTCGAAAGTCTACATTGTTTGCTAGTTTGTGTGCATATTTTGTTTCACAGCGAACATCTAGATTATTCAATGGACCATCAAATGTTTTAAGAAAGAAACAACTTTTAAAGAAATATTATTTCTTTCGTATTTTATATTACATCTTGATATAGTTCAGAGTAAATCTAATGTAA